AGCGCCCAGGCCCAGAGTTCAAGCCCCACGACCGACCAAAAATAAATTTTTTTTTTAAAATATAGAGATGGCCAGGCGTTGGTGGCTCATGCCTGTAATCCTAGCTACTCTGGAGCTGAGATCTGAGGATCGTGGTTCAAAGCCAGCTTGGGCAGAAAACTTTGTGAGACTCTTATCTCTAATAAATCACCAGAAAACCAGAAGTGGTGCTGTGGCTCAAGTAGTAAAGCACTAGCCTTGAGCTGAAGGATAGCACCAATGTTCAGAGTTCATGCCCCACAACCATCCAAAACACACACACACACACACACACACACACACACACACACACACACACACACACACACACACACACACACATACACACACACACACACACAGAGATAAATGGCAAGTATAAATGAGTGAAAGATGGAAAAGGGCCAGCTGAAGTGGTTTAATTAAATCTTAGCTACTTGGAAGGTGGAGATCAGAGGATATCAGTTTCTGGTCAGTGCAGGCGAAAAAATTACAAGACTCCATTTCAACCAATGGCACTTATTTGTCATTCCAGCTATATAAGGAAGCACAGACTGGACTGTGACTCAGAATAGATAGCCCAGGCATAAAGCAAGACTCTACCTCAAAAAAATAACCTACAGAAAGTAAACTCAAGTGGTAGATTGTTTGCCAATCAAGCGTGAGGCACTAGGTTTAAGCCTCAATACCACAAAACACTCAAAAATAAGGAAATAATCTAGAATAGTCAAAACAATGTCAAAGAATTAAGTTAGAGGGTTTGTACAGACTAATAGCAAGTCTTATAACTGCAGGAATCAAAATATTGTGGCACTGACATAAGATTTTTTTTTGGGGAGGGGGGGGGGGTCCAGTCGTGGGGCCTGAACTCTGGGCCTGGGCGCTGTCCCTCAGCTCTTCAGCTCAAGGCTAGCACTCTACCACTTGAGCCACAGCGCCACTTCCAGCTTTCTTTTTGCTTATGTGGTGCTGAGGAATCGAACCCAGGGCCTCATGCATGCAAAGCAAGCACTCTACCACTGAGCCGCCTTCCCAGCCCCAGATTTTTTATATTTTTTAAAAGATCAATAGAACAGGGTAACCTTGGCCAAGAAGCACTGTACTCATAACCTGACTTATGAAATTGTAACAACTTTGTACAACTACTTAATAAGAAAAAAAGAACATATAAAAAAAAAAGGACAGGCACCAGTGGCTCAGGCCTATAATCCTAGATACTCAGGAGGCTGAGATCTGAGAATCACTGTTTGAAGCCAACCCAGACAGGAAAGTCCATGAGACTCAGAAAAAGACAGAACTGGCTCTATTGTTCAAGTGGTAGAGCACTAGTCTTGAGCACAAAGAAGCTAAGGGAGAGCATCCAGGCTCTGAGTTCAAGCCCCAGAACTGGCACACACACCCCCCCCCACACACACCCCACACCCACAAAATCAATGGAACAGAATTAATGCCCATAAATATGCCTACACAAGCTTAATCATGTGTTGAATCTTTCCTGAAAGTCATGGTGAAATGATCAAGAGCACTAGAGAAGGGAAAAAAAAATTGACATTCCTGAAACTATATAATTAAAAGTGAACTCAAAATACAGCCCCTATTAAACTACACAACTTCACAAAGAAGTATATCATTTAGATGTACTCCACAAGCTAATGTTCTAAAGGATGGGATTCTAGCTGATGATCCCAGCTAATTTCTGAAGCTTTAGAAGGTAGAGCAGATTGGAAGAAGTTGGGTCACTGAAATATGACTTCGAAAGAGATATTGGATCTCTTAACTATTCATTTCTCTCTTGTTTCTAGGCCACCATAGTGGCCACCAACTCTGTAATACAAAAACTCAATTTAAAAATAAGCAAAACATATTAACAGAAACAGTAGCTCAGTTGGTAGAACACTCATCAATGAGCCAAAGTGTCTGGTACCAAATTCGAGTCCAGGTCTAGGACCAAAAAACTAAACTTCAAAGAGAAGTTGTGAATACAAATAAGCACATGAAAAGATGCTCAGCAATATCTGTCATTAGAGAAATGCAAATTAAAGCACAATGAAAAACCACAATATAACCTATCTGAATGACTAAAATTTAAAAAGACTATAACAGCTTTTTCATTTCTGTGACAAATGCCAGAGAAAATAGGTTTATAAAAGAGGAAAGATTTATTTTGACTTATGGTTTCAGTCCAAGGTTGGCTGGATCCATTCCTTTGGGCCTGAGGAAAGGCAGAATACTCCCATGGCAGAAGCATAGAGTACAGGCTGCTAACTTCATGGCAGACAGACAGAAAGCAGAAGCGGTTAACAAGGAGAGTTCAGTGCCAAAACATGCCATTCAAAGATGGTTCTCCAGTGCCCTATTTCCTCTAAGTGGGACCCACTTTCCAAGTTCCACCAAAACCTAAGAATCTATTCAAATTTTGAATCTGTCAGTGGATTAAACCGTTTAGTAGATCAGATTCTTCATGATCTAATTAAATCAGGAAGTGCTCTCCCCCAAGATACGTCTAGGAATATACCTTATTTTCTTCCTCAATCAAGATATAACCACCACAATGACCATATCAAATGTTCTCAAGGATATAATGCAACAAGAACTCTCCTACACTGTGGTAGAATGTAAAAATGGCATAACATTTGGAAAATGGGCACTTCTTTCCAAAGATAAAAAACATAAGATACACACATAAGACCCATACATTCCACATCTAATATTTATTCCAAAGAAATAAAAATGTTAGTGTTTAAGTGTATGCTGGCACACATCTATAATGTGAGCTCAGGAGGTTGAGGCAGAAGGATCATGAATTCAAGGCTATCCTGGGCCTGACAGCAAGATTCGGTCTCAAAACAAGCAAACAGATGTCAAGTCCACAGCAATTTGTAAATAAATGTTCACACTAGCTTTGGAAGTAGTCAAAACCTGGAAATACTCAAACATCCATTAAGACCTAATGTATAAATTGTATACAATGAGATGATGAAATTCTACTTAGTAATAAAGAATAATGCATTACTGACATATTAGCAATGAATCTTAATTATGCTAAAAGAAATCAGACAAAAGAGTATATTTTGAAGGATTCTTTTTTAATGGAACCCAGAAATGCAAATTATGATGTAGTGACCAAAAGTAGCTCAGTGTCTGCTTGAGGACCAGAGAGCAAGAGAAGAATTACTAATGGGAATGAGTAAAAAAGTTTTTGGGGGGGAGAAGTGGGGTGGGATGTCAATTAAAACAAAAGATTCCTAAGTTTATAACACATGCTATAAATTATGAATTGTATGATTTAAGTAAGTGCACTTCATTGTATCAATTAAACATAAAAATTGTGCCAGGGCTGGGCGCCAGTGGTTCATACCTGTAATCTTAGCTACTTAGGAGGCTGAAATCTGAGGATTGTGATTCAAAGGCTGACCAGCAGGAAAGTCTGTAAGACTCTTCAATTAACCACCAAAAAGCTGAAAGTGGAGCTGCGGCTCAAGTGGTTAAGTGCCAGTCTTAAGCAAAAGAGTTCAGGAAAAGTGCTTACATCCCGAGTTCAAGCCCAGGACCAGCATGTGCATATGTGCATGTGCATACATGCGCACACATGCATGAATATATATATACACACACACACACACACAGAAAACTGTGTCAGAAAAAAGTTTAAAGGGCTCTCATGATTAATCTGCAGTAACATTAAAATAAGCATGATGATAATAGCCTATCTCATAAGACAGATAAGGTTGATACTGAAGTAAAAAATAAAAGGAATGCTCCAGTAGAATGTCAACTAATGAACACAAAAGGAATAGAAAAAAACCCCCACTATTTGTCAACTATCCTAATGACAAATGATTTAGCTGAAAATCAACAACAAAGGTGGGTGCTGGTAGTTCATGCCTGTAATTCTAGCTACTCAGGAGACTTAGATCTGAGGATCTCAGTTCAAAGCTAGCCCAGCCAAGAAAGTCTGTGAGACTGATCTCCAATTAACTACAAGAAAACCAGAAATGAAACTGTGGATCAAAGTGGTAAAGTGCTACCTTTGAGCAGAAAAGCATGGGGATATCACTGAGGCTCTGAGTTCAAGTCCCATGGGCAGGGAGGACACAGATGCTAAAACTGAACTGGTGGTAAAAGTTTGATGACACACCAGACTTTTTTTTTTTTTTTTTGGGGGGGGGGCGTCCTCCAAGTACTTCTCCAGAAGAAATACATAAATTACAAGGTCGAAAACTAATTTTATAAAATGAGATGACAGATACCACTCGAACCAAATGGCCAATACCAGAAATGGAACAAACATTATATATATTCCAGATACATAACACTAAAGACACAGCATTATTTCCATGGTATTCCTGCCAAAAAGGAAGAATCGGAGACAAATCTCTTTCAGTTTCCAAACTAAAAAGGTACCCCCCAAAAAAGAAAACACCCACCAAGGAACTATTCAAAGTTAAAAAAGATCTGACAACTATATGCAGTAAATAATTTAGTGTTGAAATTAACACTGAGTTAAGTCATTCCAAGTTGGATTTGGATTTACATATGAACGGTACAGTGATGTCTAATATTCAAGTTAATAGTCTGCTCATTTCACTGGTGGTTTCTAAAGTGATTAGCAATATCACCAAACTGAAATGTTTCTATCACACTAAACTTGATAAACAAAACTTGTTTTTACCGTAACTTCTGCTATGTGAGTTTTTGGGGGGGAGAATGGGAGATTCAAATAAGGAAATGTAATTGTCAATAAAGAGAGCAATTAGAGCAAAACAAAATTTTGGTGAGTCATGAAGCACCAGTGTTTGACACCACATTATCAAGTACCAAGTAGGCTGGAGACTACAACTATCTTTCCTCTATCACCTATGATTCTTTAAATGCCAATGCAAATCAGTAGTAGGATCCATGATAATGATAATTTTACTATTAAAGACGACTGAATATTTTCAAACTATTACTTGTACTTACAATTTTGTTTCCCAATTTAGAAATGCCCACGTGCCTGCTGTGTGTTTGTTTAAGTGGCTCCGTGTACTGTGAGGAAGTTGACATTGATGCAGTACCACCCTTGCCAAAGGAATCTGCTTATCTTTATGCACGATTCAACAAAATTAAAAAGCTGACTGCCAAAGATTTTGCTGACATGCGTAAGTTTAAATAAGACATAAACAAAAGTTGCTGTTACCTATGACCTACTACACCAAAGGTTGTCACTGCTAGATGATAGACACCTATCTATCTCCACACACTTCACCAAACTCCTTTTTTTCTGTGTGGTGAAATCATTTTTCCATACTAATTTCCCGTCATTTTTATTTGCTGATAACTTTGGTGTTTACTTTGATAGCCCATCTTGCATATAGACTATCACATCACATATTTTAACTCATAACTGTTAAGCCTGATTACATGTTAAAAATGTCTGGAAGACTTTGTCTTTTAAAAACTATTTTTGAAATATTTATTCAAGACTCTCCTTCCCAAAAGTTCTAATTCAGGCCTGGGGTAAAGCCAAAACATTATCTCTAAAACAACCACACTCCTTACACCATTCTACAAGGTTGAAAACCCTGGCATTTAACTCTTTCCAGGTCATTAATCTTGGACTTCTGGCTTTCTACCAAACTTTAACCCAACAAAGGTGTTGCTGGAGACATCAGTTAGCCTCTATTTCTGCAGCACAAAATTTTCATACTGTATTACTAATTTCTTGTCAGCTTTTTAGGCTATTGGGTTATCAAATTCTACTAGATTTCAAAAAAAATCTAAAATTATCTTGAAAAAAAAATCAAACCAAGAAATGTCTACTAGCTTTACTGCACATTTATTAGATAAGCTGTAACTGGTTTCATGCTAGCAGCTTTCAAGTGGGGATTAAAGGAAAAGTAGCTGTTTATTATTAATTGTAGATCTTCTATTTACAAAATCAATACATGTAGTTCAGTGATAGTTTTTGCCTAGCATGGATATGGCCATAGATTTGATCCCTAGCACTGTGAAAATTTAATTTAAAATTTTATTTTTTATCTTAAAAAGTACATGTGGTACTTTTATGATTATTAACAGAAGTACATAGAATAGCAAAAAAGCTATAGTTACTCAAAACACATGTTTCCAACTAAGGTTAAATAAGGCAATGTTTTCTTCTAGTGTCAGCTGTTGTATTGTAAGTTAAGGATCTAATCAGCATATTTAGCATCATTTTTTTCATTTGTGCTTTTTGTTGTAAATTTTACAGTAATGGCACTAAGTATAGTGCTATTTTAAGTATGGTACTATTTCTATGCATTTCTGCTAATCATTAACACACCACATCTACTAATTGTTAACTTTAATTAACTGTTTACTTTTTCACAGTACTAAGGGATCAAACTCAGGGCCTTGTACATTCTAGACAAGTGCTCTACAAATAAACTAGATTCCTAGTGTTTCTAAACATAAGAGATCTACAATGTACCTTATAGAGAATGCATCTGTAATAAGCTTCATTCAGGCATGAATTATAGTAAAATATTAATTCAACAATATACATTAAGGTATCATTAAACAAAAACACATAAACCAAGATTTGTGCTAACTAGTTAACAAAAAATCATCCAAACAATTATTCCAAATATAACAAAAAATGTAAAGGGTAAATTATGAAGTTAAGTGCACCTATCTTTCTCTGCTTGCTTATGGGAATTCCAACTGATCATGCATAATTCTTAACTAAGTTTTTTAGAAGCATGCATCCACTCAATGCAAAAATGTTTCCATTAACTCTATCCTGGTAGCCTAGATGCTGGCTCCAAACATGTTTAATATGTTTTCCTTAGCCAGTTCTGCCTTTGTTAATGGGCATGTTACTGCATGTCAGTGAGGTGGTCAGGGCACGTCAGAGGGCTGGTGTTATTGATTCTAACATTCCATTAGAAACTGTGTAATTAATCAGTCACAGAGAAATGCATGAGAGCCAATCCCTATTCCCCCTCATGACCCTCCCCCCACTCAAAAATGGTAAGAAGGTAGAAGTGCTGCCTCTTAGGAGAGGAGATAGACATAAACCTCAGAGATAGCAAAATTCTGCCAGGGGACATGACAGTATAGTCAACAGAATGGCCTTTGTAGTAGGGTGGCCATGATCATTCCAGCAGTCAAAGAGCACCTGCCAGGCTCCCAGGTCCACTGCCAGGTACATTATGAGAATAATCCCATGTAGTCCTCCTCCCAGCTGCCATTTTACAGGAGGCAAACAGAAGTCAACCTATTTACTCAGTATCTGAGCTAGTAAGGGAAGCACCAGAACTGGGACCTCCCTCTTCAAGAGGGATCAGACCTTGCTTGAACCTGGAAAACTGGGTAGGATATGAATAGCCAGGCCAGCAGCAGACAGAAACACTTAATGTAGCTTCACTAAGGGTTGTGCCTTTCTTTCTCCTCTGCCAGACCCAGCGACTTGTGAGAGAGCCTATGTGATTAGAGACTCATGGAAAGCCAGGCCACTAACTCCCCTACACTCAATGGTTCAGTACTCATCAATGGTAAAGCAAGTTTTTAGAAAATAACTACAATGAGAAAAAATTGCTTCCTAATCATCCAGACAAAAGCCAAAACACATATACTGTGTATACATACATTGAATTTCTCAATCCTCCAGTCTGTATTGCCATAACAAATTGGGGAACATTTTTGTCTTACTTTGTAAGAAGTAAGGTATAGTGAGATTATGGTAATTTAGTCACAATTAACAATGCAACATCCTGGCAAAATATCCAAGAATACAATTATATGACTCCACTCATTCACATGTAGTTAGTCCCCAGGATTTGCAATAAGTATTTCTTTCAAACTACCTGTTCATCATGAGAAACTGAGAAGTATGGAAATACTTAATATTAAGATCCTTTCCAAATTTGGGATTCTAGGATAGTAAAAAAGGTATTATTAAGCAGAGAGATGCTCAGTGTTCAACAAAACTATTTATTGATGGAGTTGAGAGAAAAATTCAGTGTTCAGTGTTTGTCTAGTATGTGCCAGACACTAGGTACCATTCTCAAGCACAAAAACAATTTTTTGAGCCAGTGATTGTACACACTAATGATAAAACATCTGAATAATCTGTTATACTCACTTTTTTTGTTGCATGAGACTTAACTTCATATTTCTTTGTGTATTTCTCCCCTCAAGCTAACCTAAGAAGACTTGATTTTACGGGTAATTTGATAGAAGAGATAGAAGATGATACTTTTTCAAAACTTTCTCTGTTAGAAGAACTTTCACTTGCTGAAAATCAGCTACTGAGACTTCCAGTTCTTCCTTCAAAGCTTATTTTATTTAATGCAAAACACAACAAAATCAAGAGTAAAGGAATCAAAGCAAATACATTCAAAGTAAGTACTTCATAGTATGACAAAACACAGTACCAACGTTAATAGTTTAAAAGTCTATGGTTTTAGCCACTGGTGGTTCACACCTATAATCCTAGCTACTAAGGAGGCTGAGATCTGAGGATCGTGGTTCAAAGCCAGCCTGGGCAGAAAAGTCTATGAGAATCTTATCTCCAATAAACCACTAGAAAACCAGAAGTGGTGCTGTGGCTCAAGAGGTAGAGCTCTAGCCTTGAGCTGAAGAGCTGAGGGACAGTGCCCGTGTCCAGAGTTCAGACCCCATGACCAACAAAAAAAACAAAAAACAAAAAAAGTCTATGATTTTTCTTTTGGGGGGCTAGGAGTAGGAACTGCACTCAGTGTATAGACGCTGTCTCTTAGCTTTTTTGCTCAAGGCTTATGCTCTACCACTTGTGGCATATCTCCTCCACTTCCAGATTTTTGGTGGTTAATTGGAGGTAAGAGTCTCATGGACTTCTTGCTCAGACTGGCTTCAAAATATAATCCTAAGAACTCAGCCTCCTAAACAGCTAGAATTATAGGCATGGTTCACCAGAACCTGGCCTTATCAGTTTCATATAAAGAATATTTAGAGCATGGTGGTTCAATACTGTAATCCAAGATACTTGGGAGGCTGTTAAAGGAGGATCACTTAAAATGAGATTTACAGGTGTATTTCTGAACAGATCAGGATAAATCAACAAAATTATCAAAATTGTCTGCTGTATAGTTTGGTTTAGTGCCTTATGGCTCTAACAGCCACTGGTAAAATCAAGTCACTATAATTCATATAAATTGGGCCTACTGGAAAGATGTCTATGTGGTTAAACTTAGAATATTTAAGAAAGGATTAAAACAACAGCATACAAAAATAATGAACAAAGTTTGGTACAAGTATCAAAATTAATTACTAATCATAAAAAGTAATCTAACATAAAATCCTTATGAAAAAATCCACATGAAGTTAGGGTTTAATGCAACATTTTGCTAAGCATATCTTTTTGGAGTAACCACTTAAGGAGAAATTGGTAAAGTTGAGATGGGAAGCTCTAGAGGCTCAAGGAAAGTCAGAGTAGCAGCAGGTTCCAAAAATAGTCCTGGGTAGAGCGACTTAATTAGCTGTCCTCAAGACAACTTAAAGGACCCCAAAAGTAGCATTAAGATTGAGTTGAAGTGAATGGACAGACATGTGAAGTATGCAGTAGAGCTCTGAGGTTCGTTCGTTGTAAATGTCTTAAGGACTAAAACACACTACATCTAAAGCCAAACCCAATAACAAGCAAAACAAAGAACTACTATATGAACAACTGATATGATTTATGTGTACTTATACCAAAATCCCTTCTTATGTATATACTGCTTAGATCCTGACAGAGAATGAACAGACTCCAGTAACACTCAAACCAAATTTTCCTTACAGAAACTGAGTAACCTCGCCATCCTCTACTTGGACCATAATGAACTGGAAGCTGTACCTCCTAATTTACCAGAAAGTCTACGAATAATTCATCTTCAGGTAAGATTGTTACTTCCATGATATCTGGTTTAATTACCTATGAGTTCATTTTATGGCTCATTAGTAAACTTTGCTCATCATCTGTGAATTATGGCTAGATCATTATGATACTGTGATAAAGTTCAACAACTATTCAAAGTATTAATACTTAAACATATGAATTCCCTATTTTCTAGCCTTAACACACAAATTGGAAAGTTAGGGGGCACTCAAACTTCTAGTTCATGTTTCTTTCCTCATAGGGCAATGTAGATTAAAGGTTCTAGCATTATTCTAGGAACATATCAAGTAGAAAATCAAAAAAATGAAGAATAAAATTATTTAAATGAAAACAATGAAAATAAATGAAAAAACAGGTGAATATCTTTAGAAAATATTTAAGGATGTAGTTCCGCTCTAGTACTCTAAGATACTTTTTCCAGCTAATATAATCCTATTTATATTCAGATTTTTACATTAAATCAGTATTAATCTGAGAAATAATCAGTGGTTTGTTCTTCCAAAATACAGTATAAACTAAAAACAGATGTTCAAATTATGCAGTTTTATTTTCATGAGGATTCACAGTATGTACAATATCGTTCTGTGTGATGGTCCTAGGTCTTGAACTCAGGGTCTGGGATCTTTGTCTCTGAGCTTTTGTGTTCAAGACTAGTGCCCTAGAATATTTAAGAAAGGATTAAAACAAAAGCATAGGAAAATAATAAAGTTTTGTACAAGTATCAAAGTTAATTACTAATCATGAAAAGCCTCAGCTCCACTTCTATCTTTTTGGTAGTTAATTGCAAATAAGAGTCTCATGGACTTTCCTGCCTAGGCTCGCTTTGAACTGTAATCTTCAGATCTCAACTCTTGAGAAGTCAGGATTATAGGCATGAGTCACTGGCACCTTGCAAATACTTTAAAAAATACTCTGTGAAGGGTTTCATTATTTAGTACATTAAAAGCTTGTTTCGGAATTGCAAAATATTTTTTTCTTCTGTTTTTCAGTTTAACAACATAACTTCAATTACAGACGACACCTTCTGCAAGGCTAATGATACCCGTTATATTCGGGAACGTATTGAAGAGATTCGCCTAGAGGGTAATCCAATAGCCCTTGGAAAACATCCCAACAGTTTTACTTGCTTGAAAAGATTACCTATAGGGTCATACTTTTAACCACTATCAAAGCAATGTGTAAGCTAAAGTATGTATGCTTATAATTTGTCTCAATAATGTCTAAAAGAACATTAAATACTGGTTTATCATTAACTTTTTATCTTACTATGAAAGAATTTTATGTCTTAAACAAGAATGTTCAAAATAAGATTGAATTTCTAAGTTCAAAATAATGTGAAAATATTTAAAACATTGAAAATTCTCCTGGTTTATACTAGACATCTACAATTCAAGATGCATATTCTTATTACTAAGTAAGAGAAGTCCAAGAAAGTTCCAATTGTTTATCTTTGCTAGGTTGCTAGCCTTTATCTTTTTTCTTTTTTCCATATATCTATTTTTATTGTAAAAATACTGTACAATGGAGTTACAGTTACATGAGTAGGGTAATGAGTACATTTCCTATTAGGTTTTATTAAGTATCTTGAAAACATTTAAAGCCTTATAAAGCTAAATATTTCCATTGATCTTTCATGATTCATAATTATTCATATGAGGTGGGAACCTTGTTTTCTTCTTATAAAGAAAGCTATCTTACTTTATTTTCACTAGCCTAAAAAATTTTCCAAATAAAGTAGAATTTTACTTTCTAATAAAGAGCTAGAAGGTATATCCAAAGTTTTCTACCTTGTGGGCCACATCATTAGAGTTCAATAAAGAAAAAATATTCTTTTATCATAAGTCATTTTGTAAAGCCAAGCAATTCAAAACTAATAAGCTTTTATAAACAAAAAATTCTGACACATTTAAACAAGAATAAAGTTCTTCCCCTGAAAGATTTTCAATTTTGAAAGAAGTACAAAATATTTCCTTTTAAAATTACTGAACAGGGCCTTCTCAATAACTGTTCACATATAAAGAAACAAAAACTGCCTGTGCATGTAAATGTTTACCAAAACAAACTGAATATTCACAGCAAAGTTTTTGAGCAACATTTGCTCAATGCCCATGATGAACAGACTCACTTAACAATAAAAACCTGATCTTCAATCCAAGTAATGACTCAAAACTGCCAGATTAAAGATCCTGAACTAACCTTTCTCTTGCCTATATATCACTCAAAAGTCTTAATACATTGCTTTGAAGTTAAATAGAAAATTACTGGTACTTTAGAAACATGAATCTGACCTGTCTATAAAATATATTGACATCATTTCCATTGTAGATTATACAATGGAATTGGTAAATTACTCCTAGAACATATACTCATTCCTGTTGTTTCTTAGGATTTACCCTCCAACACCATTTGTTGAAGTTGATCTGAGATTAAAAACAGCTATGATCCTTTGGAGTTTATTTTTCTGCATCTATAATCTCTGAAGGCCTCAACAGTTACTCTGACAATGCTCATTAGTGCATTCATTTATTTTGATGAGTAATGACTATAACTAATATGCTTTTTTCATAATTTTGTGTGCTTGACTTATTTTCTAATTGACAAAATAGTTGAGAGCACTGAATACAGCTTATGTTTATACTGTCACAGTCCTAGCACAACAGTGAACACATTTAAATATATGAATAAATGTTGTAAAATCCAAAGTAAAAGAGTGCTGTTTCATTGGAAAAATTAATTATCATATGAGTAAATTAATATAAATACATTGCGACTTTATCTGGAAATACATGTCTTATAAAGAAAGGTCCATAAGCAAGACGGAGACTAAAGAGTGTGGTTAAGTTTATTAAATTTCTGGTTTTCATAAGGCTGTATACACACACATATATACACCAATATAAAGAAAGAAATGCTTAAACTAAGTACTGGTGGCTTCTGCCTGAAATCCTAGCTAGCTCACAGACCCTTATTCAAGGCCACCTCAAATAGAAAAGCTCTAAAGACCTTCTCAACTCTGAGTACAATGGCCAGGACTGGGAGAATGTTACCTACAGGCCTGCCTTGGCAGAAAAGTTCAGTACTGGAAGAGAAGAAAAAAGAAAAGGAAGAAAGGAAGGGAGGGAGGGAGGGAAAGGAGGGAAAGAAAGATGGAGATGGAGATGGGGAGAGGGAGAGGGAGAGAGAGTAAGAGAGAGAGAGAGAGAGAGAATGAATTACTGAAAAAACTAAAGATATACATAGACATCTTGTGTTTGGATTAGATTTAACATTGTTAAGACTACAAAACCAACTCCAGATTTGATGTAATCCCTGTGACAGCCCCAATGGTATTTTCTGAAGAAACAGAAAAATCTATTCTAAAATTCATATAGAATTTCAAAAGCTCTCAAATAAACCCAAGAATCTTAAGAACTAAGGGAGCAGACTGGTATTTCTTAACTTCAAAACTTGCTCCAAACAATAATAAAGACACTGTGGTACTTCCATAAAAATTAGACATATAAGCGGGGTGCTGGTGGCTCAAGCCTGTAATCCTAGCTACCTAGGAGGCTGAGATCTAAGGACTGCGGTTCAAAGTGTGGGCACTGTCCCTCAGCTCTTCAGCTCAAGGCGAGCGCTCTACCACTTGAGCCACAGTGCCACTTCCTGTTTTCTGGTAGTTTATTGGAGATAAGAGTCTCACAGACTTTTCTGCCCCGGCTGGCTTTGAACCGTGATCCTCAGATCTCAGCCTCCTAAGTAGCTAGGATTACAGGCGTGGGCCACCAGCACCTGGCAGTCCGTGAGACTCTTTTTTTTTTTTTTTGGGGGGGGGGGGTCCGGTTGTGGGGTCTGAACTCTGGGCCTGGGTACTGTCCCTCAACTCTTCAGCTCAAGGCTAGCACTCTACCACTTGAGCTACTTCTGACTTTTTTTTCCTTTTGCTTATGTGGTGCTGAGGAATCGAACACAGGGTCTTTTCTTTTTTTTTTTTTTTTTTGGTCGGCCGTGGGGCTTGAACTCTGGGCCTGGGCGCTGTCCTTCAGCTCTTCAGCTCAAGGCGAGCCTTCTACCACTTGAGCTACAGCGCCACTTGAACCCAGGGTCTAGGCATGCAAGGCAAGTGCTCTACCACTGAGCCACCTTCCCAGCCCCTGTGAGACTCTTATCTCCAATAAACCACTCAGAAATCCAGAAGTGGCACTGTGACTCAAGTGGTAGAGTGCTAGCCTTGAGCTGAAGAGTGTAGGGACAGCACTCAGTCTCAGAGTTTAAGCCCATTACCAACAAAAACAAAAAAACAACAAAAAGACCCCAGACATATAAGTAATACAATATTTTAAAGCCCAGAAATAAATTTTTATTAAATGGCCAAGTAATTTTCAAGAACAGTACTAAGACCATTCAAAAGGAGAAAGGACAGTGTCTTCGACTAATGAAAATGGATATTCACAGACAAAAGAATCAAGTTGAAGTCATATCTTAAGCTAATATAAAAACTAACAACTAACTCAAAATGGATTAAATACCTAACCTTAAGAACATAAACTAAGCCGGGCGCTGGTGGCTCACACCTGTAATCCTAGCTACTCAGGAGGCTGAGATCTGAGGATCGCCGTTCAAAGCCAGCCCGGGCAGGAGAGACTGTGAGACTCCTATCTCCAATAAACCACCAGAAAACCAGAAGTGGCACTGTAGCTCAAGTGGTAGAGCGCTCACCTTGAGCTGAAGAGCTGAGGGGCAGCACACAGGCCCAGAATTCAAGCCCCACGACCAACGAAAAAGAACATAAACTAAAATTTAAAACAAATGGAAGAAAACCTTTATGAAAATGAACATAGTAATTTCTTGTATAGGACATACCACACCCACACAAACACACACCCACACCAAATCACAGGCAACAAAATATAAACAGGATTTCCGTCAAAACTCACAATTTCGTGCATCAAAAGACATTATCACAAAATTGAAAAGACAATTTGCAGATCATATCTTTGATAAGGTATTACTATCAAATATATAGATTGTACAAGGAAAACTAATCCAATTAAAATATGTGAACTGGACTTATATATCCAGATTTGCCAAAGATATATCAATAGCCAATTAGTATATGAAAAGCTATGCTGTATATGTATATATAGTATATGTTGTAGGGAACTACACCCTTATAAAATGGTGCAGCTTCTATTGAAAAAGTAATATGTGCTTTCTTAAAAAATTGAACTTACCCATGATCAAGGAACTCTACTTTTAAATACATACATTTAAATTAAAAGCAAGACCATAAAGCGATATATTGGTGTACCTCTACTCATAACAATAACCTAAAAGGTGAAAACAATCCAAGTTTCTACCAATAGGATGTCCAAGGAAAATGTGATATATATATTCAATGGAATATTATTTAAATTTAAAAAGTAAATATAGCACATGCTACCATATAAACTTTGAAGACATTATGTTAAGTACAATAATTGAGACAAGACAGACAGCCTAATTGTGTGAGGTACCTAGAATAGACAAAAATTACAGAAACACCAGAGTTCAAGCCCCACGACCAACAAAAAAATAAAAATAAAAATAATTCTTTTGGGGCTGGGAAGGTGGCTCAGTGGTAGAGTGCTTGCCTTGCATGCCTGAGGCCTTGGGTTCGATTCCTCAGCACCACATAAGCAAAAAAAAAAAAAAAATTACAGAAACAGAAAATGGAAGAGTGATTACCAGAGTCTGAGACAAGGAGAGAATGAGAAGATGGTATTTTAATTAGTATGAAGTTTCAGCCTGAAACATATATATGTACACACACACACACACACACACACACACACACACACACACACACACTAGATAGATAGACAGATAGATAGATAGATGGGGGGAGGGGTGGCAGCTATGGTTGCAGAATAATGTGACTTCTTTTTCCATCCTAGTAACTTTACCAACTAGCAAAAAAGACTAAAGCTCTTATCCTCCATGGAAACAATACACCAACTATATCTATAACTGCCTGAAGAGAACCTGAAGTCAAACCAGTTTTGGAAATAAGGACCAAAGCTCACATATCTCACCATCCTCTCAAATACACAACAAACATCAGTATTAGATTTGCTCACTACTATAAAGGCCAACATAGTACCAAATTACTATTGCATTTTACAAGTTGTGAAGTAGACATGTTATTTAATTGTCCTGGTACAAGATATTTTTTAAATCATGAGAAATCCTAAAAGGATTGCAGTCAGGAAACTTGCCATTTTTCATTCTGGAGAAAATCCTATGCCTGACAGATGAACTAACCCAAATAGGATAAATTTAACCATAAGAACCCAAAATGAAGGAGAATTATTACCATCATTAAAAATAATAGTCATGATCTAATTAAGCAAATATTATTTATCATGTTGCATCTTTAAGAACTTGCTTTCTGTACATCACTGATATTAGTAGTATTCAACTGAGTTTTTTATCTGGAGAGATTCCAAAACAATCTAATAAAAAAGAGTATCTTAAAGTATTTTAGACTTGTCTTACTTCACAAAAATCAGGCCTTAATATTTAAACTCATAATGTACAATAAATAAGCAGTTCAAAATAGAGTATGGCTTGAGAAGACTGTATCGCTTCATGACAAGACAGCTATGAGTATATTCTTTAATGGCATTTATTATTTTATTCAAATATCCCGGGTGATTTTTCAAAATGCAGATCTGGAAATCCAAATATTCATTCAAAATATTCTACATTAGAAATTGTTTAGTGATGTATGCAGAAGCTCCTCACTTATTACTAATAACTGCAAATTTCTGAAGCCAATAAACATATTTTCTATTTTTTTGAGAACTTCAAGGGAAGTATGTTATGGCTGAAACTTCAAATTAGCCGAGCTTCATTTTACATAGATACTTAAATTTAGAGACTTTAGACTTTACCTTGAAATGCTTAAATGTGTTCTTACGATGTTCATACCACTCCACAAAAAAATGCAGACTTCGGAAAAACATAAGCAAATCTCTTCTTTCTTCTACTCTGTAAAGTAAGATTCTATGATTAATAAATATCATTAAATGACTAATCCAAACTAGTTTTGTTTTTTTCATCAGTCATGGGGCTTGAACTGAGGACCTGGGTGCTGTCCCTGAGCTTTTCTGCTCTAACAATTTTAGTAACTGCTCCACTTCCACTTTTTAGGTGGTTAATTAGAGATAAGAATTTCACAGCTTTTCCTGCCTGGGTTGGCTTCCTCAGGTAATGCTCAGCTCTCGGCTTCCAGGGTATCTAAGATTCTAGGCATGAGCCACCAGCACCTGGCTTATTACTTCTTTTTCCTTTTCCTATACTATTTGGTATAAATTCTGAATCCTGAATTCTGTACTTCTGTAAGTGTCCTTCCTATGACTACCAATGTTACCATCTTACCCTAGAAATCCCTATTCAAATGTTTAAACTTATCCATTATTTAAATCACTTGGATTCCACATTCTCAACAAAATCATAAAAAATATGCATGTGCCAGTACTGAGGGTTTGAACTCAGAGCCTGGGTGCTATCACACAAGGCTGGCACTCTACTACTTCAGCCACAGCTCCACTTTGAGTTTTTTGCTGATTAATTGAAGAGTCTTACAAACACCAGATGAGGATGGCTCACACCTATACTCTTAGCTACTCAGGAGGCTGAAAGCTGAGGATAACAGTTCAAAGCCAGCCTGCACAGGAAAGTTCATAAGACTCTTAACGTCCAATTAACAACTTAGAAAAGGCTGGAGGTGGCACTGTGGCTCGAGTAGTAGAGCACTAGCCTTGAGCCAAAGAAGCTGGGACAGTGCCCAGGAACAGCCCCAGGAACAGCCAAAAAAAAAAGGGGGGGAGTACATCTCACAACCTTTTCCGCCAAGGCTAGTTTGTGAGCTATAATCCTCATATCCTCTTGAATAGCTAGGATTACAGATGTAAGCCACCTACGTCCAGCTTGTTTTCCATTTTTGATCATGGTAATTTTCAAAAATGTCTAGTACTCAACAGTAAGAAGAAACTAAGTATGCAAGGAATCAAGTATGACCCATTCACAGGAAAAAATAAGAATTGTAATTGAAGACAGAGAAAGAATTACCAGGCAATCTTAAATTATGTTAAAAGAAATCACAGAAACCAGGAAAACAAGTGTGGCAATAAACAGAGAATAAAAATGCAGAAAATTTTTTTAAAAAGAAACAGAGCTGGGAATGTGGCTTAGTGGTAAAGTGCTTGTCTAGCATGCATGAAATGCTGGGTTCCATTCTTCAGTACCATATAAACAGAAAAAGCCAGAAATGGTGCTGTGGCTCAGTGCTAGCACTGAGCAAAACAAGCTCAAGGATAGTGCCCAGGACCTGAGTTCAAGCCCCAAGACTGACAAAAAAGAAAAAGAAACAAAAATTTTAATATTCATAGCCAGGTGTGGTTCATGGTTCAATCTTATTAGGAGGGTAAGGAAGTAGGATTGTGAATTTGAGGCCAGTTTAGGTTACATGACAAGACCCTGTCAAGAGAGAGGGAAGGGGAAAATAGAAGAAATAATTTTAGAACTGAAAATAACAACCATGAAAATTTCACTGAAGGGCTTCTACAGCAGATCTGAATGGGCATAATATTCAGCAAGTGAAACAGGTTAAAATTACTGTAGCTCAAGTGAAATTATTCAGATTAAGAAACAAGAAAGAGCTGCATACAGGTGGCTCACACATACAATTCTACACATGAGACTGAGATTTGAGAATAACAGTTTGAAGCCAGCTTGGACAAGAAAGTCTATGAGACTTTTATCTGCAATGAATGACCCTCCCAAAAAAAATTTTTTTAAAGCTGTAAGTGAAGCTGTGACTCAAGTGATAAAGCACTAGCCTTGAACAACAAAACTCAAGGACAGTGCCTAGGCTCTGAGTTTAAGCCCCAGATCTGGCATGTGTACACAGGAACATGTACACATGTATGCACACACACACATACACACACACACACACACACAGAAGATTTACTTAGCCACCAAAAACAACAGATTGATTGCAGGAAAATAGAAATGGAGACCATAACGTTAACTAAAATAAGCTAGTCCCACAGAGTAAGTAATACGTTTTTTCTAATTTGTGGAAACTAGGGGAAAACAAAACAAAGCAAACAACAACAAAAAAATCCAAGCGGCTAAGAAGGTGGCTTAGTGATAGAGTGCTTGCCTCGCATGCATGAAGCCCTGGGTTTGATACCTCAGTACCACATAAACAGAAAAAGCCAGAAGTGGCACTATGGCTCAAGTGGTAGAGTGCTAACCTTGAGCAAAAAGAAGCTCAAGGACAGTGCTCAGGCTCTGAATTCAAGCCCCAGGACTGGTTAAAAAAAAAAAAAATCCAACGTAACGAAAGTGACAGGGACATGCATGGGGAAGGGAAAAGGGAGGAGAAAATTATCAGCAATACCAGAAGGATGAATAGATCAAAATATATCACATGAATCTATGGTAAGGTCATAATGACAGTATGTATAATTTAATATATACTAATAAAAAACTAAATTGAACTTAAAAGAAGGTGTGAGTCAGGAAAGAAGCATTAGAGGATGCTAAAGGGTGGAAAAATAATTAACTTAACTGCATGGTCATAGACTACATGTGAATTCTAAGTGAAGAAAAAAAATAGGAATCTTACAGTGGAAAAACAGGAAAAAGTTTCATTCAGTGGTCAACCTTAGTATCACCTATGAACCTTAGTATCACCTATGAGGGACATTATGCAAAGAATGACAAGATGTCACGTACACAATATATCACCTACACAATATTTTATCCAAGAATGCTTACAATTAATCACAAGAAAAAAAAACAGCTAACAGGAAAAATCTGCTGTAAAAGAAGAGTAAAAAGAACTGTGTTTTCTAAAGATGACAAAGTTTAAAAAAATGGCAAAGTCGGGCTGGGAAGGTGGCTCAGTGGTAGAGCATTTGCCTTGCATGCATGAGGCCCTGGGTTCGATTCCTCAGCACCACATAAACAAAAAGAAAAAAGCTGGAAGTGGCGCTGTGGCTCAAGTGGTAGAGCACTAGCCTTAAGCTGAAGAGCTGAGGGACAGTGCCCAGGCCCAGAGTTCAGGCCCCAGGACCGGACCCTCCCACACCAAAAAAAAAAATGGCAAAGAAAGGTTGTGGAACTACTCCAGATTAAAGGAAGCTTAAGAGCCAGACTCGGGTGTCTTATACCTGTAATCCTAGTTACTCTTGAGTCTGGAATCTAAGGATCATGGTCTCAAACCAGGCCCCAAAAAACTGGGAAGTAGAGCTGTGGCTCAAGGGGTAGAGAGCCAGCTGTGAGCAAAAAAACCAAAAAACAAAACTCAGAAACAGTGCCAGGGCCAGTAAGTTCAAGCCCCAGGACTGGCATAAAAGGTGGAAGAGGAACCTAGAGACAAACAAGGTGAATATTGTAACAAGCTGAGTATATTCCTGTAATTCCAGCTACTTGAGAAGGGGTGATAGGAGGATACCAGCTCAAAATGAACCAAAGCAAAAAGCTAAAGTATCTTAAAAAGTAAATAGAGGTGGCTCAAGCCTGTAATCCCAGATACTGAGAGTTAGGTGGGAGGTAAGAAAATCAAAGTCTGAGGCCAGCCTGAGCAAAAACTGTACAACCCTAGCTGAGAACAAACTAAAGTCACTAGCATGATGCCCAGAATTCAAACCCTAATCCCATCAAAACAAATTTTTAAAAAAGACATGTAACAAATAAATTAACAGTCAACCCTAAATAGTATGATGCACTGTGAGAGAAAAAAATTCAACAAAGGATATTATGAAACTACCAAAATTGAAATAAATCTATTAAAATTATGTAAATGTCAACTTATGAAGCTCACCCTATACTAGGTTTATGGAAGGGAATATATGTAATAAAAAATGCAGGACTCTGGATACAGCCACAAGATTAAAATTACAGATTCAGAACCCATAATATGGAGGGATCAGCTTCACTACTTGTTCATAAATCTACACATTGTTTTCTATATATTTCAGAAATTGATACATTCAAAAGAATGATTAGCTTATGTATTGGAGCACACAATGTACGCATATGTACCTGTGCCATCAACAGCTGGAAACAACTGGAGACAGAAGTAAAGGAACACAGTTTTTGTTACATTCTGTAATTTCAAGTTCTAAGTTAAAACTTTATGTTGTTGTTATGGTTTGGCTCTTATATGCTCCTCCAAAGCTTATGTATTTAAGACTTGGTCCCCAGTGCAGCAGTGTACAGAGCTGAGGCCTTTGGGAGGTGAGTTCTGATCTTATAAATAGTTAACCATTTATAACTTAATGGGCTATTGAGACAAAGCAGATCAGGAAACATGAGTCAAGGAAAACAGGAACCAGAAATTCAGAGATTAACACTGTGTTAATTAGTAGCTTGATTCAAGCACACGGGTAATATTTTCTTTGGTTTAAACCTTTTTCTCAATATAACATTTATTTAAAAAAAAAAAACAGTTCTTCCACTCTGATGTTGCCAACTGGCTCAAATGATTATTAAATTCTGGGAAGTAAGAATATTTCTTAAAAAGACATCCTGGGGAAATTTTGTTGATAAAATGACTCCTCTGGGACCCAGTTTCCAGGGCCTTACACATTGGAGCTGGAGCAGAGCTGATAATTAATTAGAGTCCCTTGCCCCAGGCAAGACAAGAACAACTAACCATCAAACTGAGGAGACAGTTGCTACTGAGACTCTGAGACTTTCCCACCAAGAACATAAACATGGTTTCAAACAAAAACTGCATTCAAAAGAGAATTCTTAGTTACCACTTCCCCCTTGATTACTGCCCACAGACTGAGAAGCATAGGTTCCTCAAATCCAAATAATAAAACAAACAAAAGTCAATCAAGTGCCAGGACTACAGTCAAGCACCTGCCCAAAGTCACCTGCCACCCTATCAATAGCCCAAATAAAAGTCAAGTGCTCAGCAAGCTGTATTTATCTAAGTCCTTTCTTTTGGTTATAATCATCCATAT